AACGCTCAAGACCACTGTATTCATAATCAATCTCCTTCAATTCCTACTACCTTGACTTTCAACACAAAACTTCCTCTCTCGGTTTCCTCCTCAAGTGTCACCATGGCCAACGATTCTAGTGCGCGAAACGCTATCCCAGGTCTACTAAAACCTCGCTCCAAACTACACATTGGAGCCTTCAACGTACGTACTTTAAGTCAAATCGGTCAACAGGCCTCCTTAGCTAAAACCTTAGAGTCGCGTACCATTGATGTATGCTGTGTCTCCGAAACACGCATACAGGATCCTAGTGTGGTCATTCACTTGACCTCACCTCGCCAAAATGGACAGCCAACGAAATACACCCTCCGTGTATCTGGCGACCCGATGGCTAGTTCTCGTGGACTTGCAGGTGTAGGTATAGCACTAAGTACAAGGGCAGAACAGGCACTATTAGAATGGATCCCCGTTAACAGTCGCCTGTGTGCTGTCCGGCTAAATGGCTCCGTAAGAACTCGGAAGGATAGGGACACACGTCGTTGCCTTTTCGTCGTTTCTGCCTACGCTCCCACTGACTGCAGCCATGATGAGGTGAAAGATGACTTTTACAGAAAGCTCTCTGAGCTTCTTCAGAAAGCTAAGCGCTCAGACTTACTAGTCGTAGCGGGTGACTTTAATGCCCAGGTAGGCAGCTTAAATCAAACAGAAAGACATCTAGGTGGGTGTTTTAGTATTCCGGCTCAACGAACCGATAATGGTGATCGTCTGATGCAACTATGCTCAGACAATCGTTTATTTTTGGCAAGCACTAATTTTAAACATAAGGAGAGACATCGTCTAACATGGCGACCACCTGCACCAAACCAACGATGGACTCAAATAGACCATATTGTCATCAGTCATCGTTGGAGAGGCTCAATAGAAGATTGTCGCTCGTATTGGAATACTTGTTTAGACTCTGATCACGCTTTAATACGAGCACGCATTTGTCTGCGCCTCAATGGACGCAGGAAAAGTAAACTAAGAAGACCCGTTAGGATTGAACTGGAGGACGAGAAAGCCAAATGCGAATTCCAGAGACAACTGAGTTCACATCTAGGCAGTTCTGTAAACGAGACTGACCCAGATGCTGCTTGGAAAGACACACGAACAGCTGTGGAAACGGCAGTAACATCTATTAGTCATTTAAACCATAGGGCTCCAAAAAACCAGTGGATTTCTTCTAAGTCTATTTCACTGATGGATTCGCGTAAACTCATACCATCAGGCTCTGAACATGACGAAGAGCGTAAAGAAATTAGATCTAGGTTAACTAAAAGTCTAAGGAACGATCGTGAGCAGTGGTGGGCAACGAAAGCAAAAGAGGTGGAAAAGGCAGCGGCTGTAGGCAACACCAGGCAACTATTCAGACTAATAAAAGAAACTGGAATTAAGAAGTCAAGTGTAAGTGAGACGATCTCGGAAAAAGATGGAACCCTTATCTGCTCTCTACCCAAACGTTTAGAACGATGGGCGGAACACTTTAAGGAGCAGTTTAGCTGGCCTTCAGCTACTGCACAACTACCCACTATTCCTAGAAAACCTGAATGGAACATTGAAGTAGGCCCCCCGACCCTACTTGAAGTTCAAAAGGCTATAGGTAATCTGAAACGAGGAAGAGCAGCTGGTCCTGATGGATTGGCTCCAGAGGTCTTTAAATATGGTGGTCCAATTTTAGCGATTAGGTTGACTAATATTCTGGCTAAAATCTGGGAGACGGATGTAATCCCATCCGACTGGTCACAATCACTGATTGTCCCAATATATAAAAAGGGGTCAAAATCATCCTGCGATAACCATAGAGGGATTAGTCTGACTAACATAGTATCTAAAATACTAGCCTCAATAATTATCAGGCGCCTAACTAAAACTCGTGAACTGCAAACACGAGAAAATCAGGCTGGCTTCAGACCTGGTCGTGGCTGTATCGACCACATATTCACCATTCGTCAAGTTTTAGAGCACAGACATGCTTATCGGCGTCCGACAATGATAGTTTTTCTTGACTTGAAAGCAGCATTTGACTCTGTAGACCGAGAGGTTCTGTGGCAGTGTCTGTCATTGAAAGGTGTACCTGAGAAGTACATAAACCTTGTGAAGGCTCTTTACTCGAACGCAACTAGTTGAGTGAGAGCTTATGGCGAACTGTCATATGATTTTACAACCTCAAGTGGTGTCCGTCAAGGCTGTCCACTATCCCCCTTTTTGTTTAACTTCATTATAGACCTGTTGCTGCAAATGACACTCTCGTCGACTGAGTTTACAGGAATTGATCTCCTACCAGGGGGACCACTAAGCGACTTAGAATACGCAGATGACATAGTCCTGTTTGGTGAAGACGCTGGCAAAATGCAGAGTCTTCTGTTGGAACTCAGTAATAATGCCAGGATGTTTGGGATGCGTTTCTCCCCATCCAAATGTAAATTGTTACTCCAGGACTGGCCTACGTCAACACCTGAACTAAGGATAGGGAGTGAAGTAGTTGAACGCGTCGACAACTTCACTTATCTTGGAAGTCTGATCAGCCCTAATGGGTTGGTGTCTGACGAAATCTCAGCACGGATTCAAAAAGCTCGTTTGGCTTTTGCCAACTTACGTCACCTATGGCGAAGACGAGATATCCGTCTATCAATTAAGGGACGAGTATACTGCGCAGCAGTTCGCTCTGTCCTACTTTACGGCTGTGAAACATGGCCATTAAGAGTAGAAGATACTCGTAGGTTACTAGTATTTGACCACAGATGCCTTAGAAATATTGCTCGCATCTGCTGGGATCACCGAGTAAGTAATAGTGAGGTTAGACGCAGGGTATTAGGTAACGATGGTAAATCAGTTGATGAGGTGATAAATCTTCATCGACTGAGATGGTTGGGCCATGTGTTACGTATGCCTGAACACCGATTACCACGACGCGCTATGCTGACTAGTATTGGGGACGGTTGGAAGAGAGTTAGGGGCGGCCAAACCAAAACATGGCATCAGTGCTTGAAGTCACTAACTTCTAGCCTGAGCCATGTTGGCAGATGCAGACTACCTGGTTGGGGTCCGCGTGACTATCGTAATAAATGGTTGGAGACTCTAGGTGACATGGCTCAGAATCGATCACAATGGCGTAGGTGTATACACTCTTTATCTTCCCTTAAACCTTGAGATTAAAATTGCTTCATATCTCTCTTCCTTCCTACTATATCCTTATATACAACCTTTCCTTATATACTACCACCACTAAATTAATTACTTCTATGAATCCGATGTTCATCTTGTTGTGCTAACGAGGTATGGCAACTTGGACCGATGCATATATGTGCCTGGTCCTACGTTGTAGCTGACTGACTGACTGAAGGGTATGAGGGCTAATATCACTTCCCGGCTGCCCACACCGTGGAAGAGTATTTCTTGAGGGACCTGAAAAAGAAGTCGGATTAGTGTTGGTCTTAACGATCTGGGAGTGTGACCGCAGTGCCCAAGGAACAACTGCTTGAGGCCGGTCACGCACGACCTTTTTGTGGGGGATTTTTGACGTGTTAGCTCCGTTCTTCAAAAGTCCTTACCGCCGGAGACGGAAATCCGTGGGATAAGGCGAGGTGTGCATTTTTAGGGTCGACCTTTTCTAACTCCACCCCTCCTTGTGGGAAGGCAGCATCGCTGTCATGCTGGTTGTCTGAAGGAAACACCTTACTGCTTTCACACCTCTGTACAGTCGGCAGTACGACTTCGCCTTCGGACCTTGGGATTGCTGCTTTTAGTCTTACCGCTCTTCAACCGACCTGTCTGGCATGGTAGGACCTCGAGGAACGATTGTTTCAGCCAGTATAGCTTGATCGCTTCATCACGATAGGCAAGCCCGACCACCATATCAAGGTAGCAGCAACGGTCGGGTATCATTTACCAAACTTTCATTATTATTCAGTTGTTATTAAGGCCCTAACATTTCTCTTTTTTTCATATCTGTCAAATGGACAATAATCTCGAGATGGTGGACAATAATCTCTAATATTTCTGGCCCCTGAATTTCCTGATACGCCCGAGAGTGAGAAGAGTTTGCTCTCTCTCTCTCTCTCTCTTGAAACGCTCTCACACAGCCACATGTATACAGCCACTGACAGGGAAGTCATACTCACTGCCTTCTCGTGGCATTACTGTTGTTTACGAAATTGAGAGGACGAAAAGCGAATGTCCGGTGTTCTAACTGGATTGGTGGATATGGAAGGTTCACCTAGGGGGGTTGGAAAACCCTGATTCCAAACCAGTGGTGCACATGGGCTTCAGAATCCTGAGGGAACAAATGACGTACGAACCAATCGTCGGTCACCGGTCACCATGGGACTGCATCATCTCACATCGCTCCACTGCCCTGCGGATTAGACCTTCAGGTCAAAGGCTCCAGATGTGGCCTCCTAAGAAAACCAACTGCTTCGGTCTGGGCACCTGGTCAGTAACACAGCCCTCATACAAATCAATGATAACCTCTATCGGCTTCACTGTTATTGTGTGGCGCATATGTATGTGGTGCCTCTTTGTACCAATCTTTATGTGTTCAAGTAAATAAATAATATAGTTTCTGACCGGCAAATCATTTTCATCCTCTTATTCTTCTCTAACCATTCGATCATCACGCAACCTCCTTTTGATATTTAAAATCTCGAGTCATTTTATGATGTAATCTCATCTACTTTTCTACATACTTGTATATTTATCAAACAACTATGAATACGAAGGTAGAGTTTGAGTATATGGTTTAATCTAATTTTTTTCTTGACTGAATTCTCAATACTTTCAGACTATATTTATTTAACTATAACTCATTGTATGTAAGTGTCATACATCTTGAACAAGGAATAACGTGTTAGAGTTGTTATGTTTAACTGTGAAGCTTTCATCATCCTTATGGATAATGTTATCAACACACACTTTATGAAGAAATACATATATGATAACAAAGATTCAAGTATTTTTAAAAATAGAAAAGCAAGGTAACTCACATAGAATTTTTAAATTCTGCCATAATTGATCTACTGCTAGTGAATGTTAACAATGGAATAACAGCAAATGGTAGTTGAACACTCATTAGTACATTTAAGAAATCATTCATTCCAGTTAAATCTTCAATGCCTGTCCCATAGATAATATATACATATATGTATGGTATAAGTAAGAAATTACTCATAGATAACTCAAACAATCATTATAAAATATAAATTACTTTATCATCGGTTAAATTTTTATGAAAAATCAGTAAAAGAAGCGTGACTTATTCCATATTGGTTGATCAGTGAGTAGTAACAACCGATGTGATATTTGTCTGATGCTATGTTAGTTGAGAAAAAAAATTATATCCATTAGATTGTAATATGATTTTAAGTTTTAGTGACTTGACAGTGTGTACATTGTACTTTAATATCAGGTAGCTGAAGACAATCAACAGCAAAACCTCGGACTTGGGTTTCGTATGATGTGGCACTTGTCTGCAAGATATATCTGTAACCTTGAGAGAACGGATGATCCCTGATGAATTGAGGAACTATACAAATATGACAAATATGACTCAGTGACTACTCAAATTTACATATTTCAGTCGTACAGGAGACTAGTAGCTGCTCAAATAGATTGGTAATTTCTTAGAATATAAAGTTCAATGATTGAGTTCGAATACTCCAGGGAGTGTCGATTTCCTGACATGACTTGCTAACAAGCGCCAACTTACAATACCTAGGTTCAAGGTTTCCTGTCGACTACTTCCAACCACTTAACACTTTTGAATCTATGTTCCACGTTAGCCGACACTCGTTATCAAAGCATATTTAAATTTTGGGAGAGCTCATATTCTCAGTAGGATGAAAACCCATATAAATGAATCCCAAATATGATTCACTTCATAATTGATTAACTTTTTCAAAAAGTAGTTACAAGGACAGGTTTTAGTTTCATAAAAAGTGAATTCTTTGGGAATCCAGTGATTAAATTAAAATTGATTGCTCAAACTAAAATAGAATGGGCAACATTCGAACATACAACCCAATAGATGAAAGTTCATTACCTGTCAACTATCAAGTCACCGCTAAAAAGATCACCGAATTCTCATGAATCTAATAATCTGTTTCGTTTAAAGTATACATTAAAAATAAAAATACAGGATAAAGACTAATGTTATAATTTAAGAGTAGTTCAAGAATACATATAAAATTCTATATTGGTATAGTTTCCTACTAATATTGAACTATCGGAATGTATTGGAAAGATTTTCAGAAATAATATATTACGCAATTAACTGAACATAAAACAAGAAACAATCTAGAATTTCAATTATAGTTATTTACTTAACTAACATAATAATAGAAAATAGGTTGTATTTACTTTTTCAACTAAATATTAAATCTACCTAGATTAAAATATGACTATCAACCAAACAAAAATACAAATAAGCATAAATTGCACTAAATAGAGATCTAATGAAAAAAATATGTCAGGTTGTCTTTGGCTTCTTGAAATGTTCCACTTATCAACAAAGTTCAATCTATGAAAGCTAGTTGAAATGAAACCAGTGTGAATAAATGCTCTGTATTGAACATTTTACATAGTCTACATAAAAATATGAAATTACGGGCAATTCCGAAAACATACATAAAAAAGTAACACTTCACGAACGTGAATATATAAATATATATATAATTACCTCTAAAAACAGTCGTTAAAATAGTGGGCAAAATAGCTATAGAACGCGTTATTAACACTCGTTGCCAGCGTTTCCATTTTAAGTTTAAAAATCCTTCCATAGCAAACTGTCCAGAATATGTCCCAGTCATTGTAGACGACTGCCCAGCAGCCAATAAACCGATAGCCCAAATAAAAAGACACGCCAGACCAAACTCACAACCTAAAAATATTCCCTTGATAATAAGATTTGTTTAAAAAATAAATCACAAAAGAATATTCACTATGATAAAGGTAGAGAATAGTAAGTTAACTAAATACTCATAATTATAACTTTAAAAAGAAAATTAAATTACTTAAATAAGCAAAGAAACTATCTAAAGCATTAATTATTTAGCATGTTATATACCAAACAGTTTGTTATTGAACGTTTCTCCTAACTAAAACATTTATTTTTATTATAAACAGTTACTATGACATGAAAAATTCTTGTTGGACAACAAGCTAATCGAAATCATAATTTAGAGTAGAAAATTTGTAAAATGGCTTTCCCCAATTGTAAATTTTAATCCACAATGTAGTAATATTTCACATATACATACAAGTTAATCTACGTTATCTAGAAAGTTGTGCGCTGAAAATTAAGTTGAATAAACAATAAATACAATCAATACTAGAAGTAAATACTGGCTACAAATAAAATAACAAATTACACTGTCAATCAGTGCTTCCATTAATTAGTATCGAGTTGGTTTAACCTGCTGAAGATCAGTTTGAATGACTATACAACTACTTATTCCAACCATTGGGTTCAACTTTTTTTTTATCAAAGTAACCAACCAGAAAATAAGTATACACATATATATAACTCGAAACTGGTAGGTCCTGGGTTCGAATCCCGCGAGAGTGGGTTCGTGGATGCGCACTGCTAAGGAGTCCCATAGTAGGACGAAACGGCCGTCCAGTGCTTCCAGGTTTTCGATGGTGGTCTAGCTTCAATTGACTCATGATTTCAACTTTGGAAAATATATGTAACTATCAAAATAAAAAATCAATATCATTTCTGTAATGCTATGTTGAAATATGAAACTAATATTTACTTTAGTCTGTAATCAGATTAATTACAAATTCCAACAATTTCATGAATCTATTTATCAAACAGAGAAATACATATCTACAGTATTAACAGTAGTAGTTCCTAACATACTATAAAGGTAACCATGAAATTGACCGTTGAACTAATGTGAAGTATCAAGACAACTATTCTCTACTTGTTATGTGAGTCGGCAATAATAATCATTTTAGAAAATCAATATAATTTCAGTAAAAATGACCTGTGACTCTGTAGTTGAAGGTCAACTAATTTTGTTATACAGATAAATAAATAGAACCAACGTGTTGTATTGGATGTACTCAATCTTCTTTAATCTCCAAATAAATTAACGTGCTTAACAAAATTAGTGGATTATTTAGATTTGAGTGAGTGAACTAGATTTCAATTTATTGTTACTGACCTGGGTAAACAGAAATATTGAATAATAAAAATATGAACAATAGAGATCTGTTCACTTAATTCAAACCATATTTTTCACTTTTCAACCAGAATAATTCAACACTAATTTCACAAGTTTGCCAAACTCCGTCTGACTAAAAGTCCTTCAAATAGCTATTTAGATTCAAAAGACAGAACTATATGTACAAAAGAAATATGTTCAACCGCTTCTCCTACCATAGACAACGTCAAATCCAATCAATCAGTAGTAATTTTAACTATAGAATGACCTAATCTGACTAATGTACATACAACCTTTCTTAGTCAAATATAATTGTCTTGATTATTTCTATTCACATATCTTTGTAATAATAATAATATCGATTTGTATGCATTGGTTGATTGAATCTTTCTATCGATCTTTCATTTATCAGTCTCTTCTTGCACATGCGCATCCCGTGACGATCACCGCGATATTTCCACCGAGTTACAAACGTTCTCATTATCGTTGGTCCAACATCATTACATCTCTCCCGAATAAATTATCCGTATACTCACTCATCCAATTCATACTACTTTATGCACAATATACAATAAACATTTGGTACGATTCATAACGGCATCAATATTTCTCTCACCCATACTTATTCTCACCATTAATCTCACAATCTCGTTTAAAATTCGATAGTGGTCACCTCAACATTAACAATTTTATGTTATCTTACTACCCGACATTCACATGCTATAACTTTAAACGACATACTTCACCTTAGATTTGGTCATCTTTTTGGATGATTAATTTGAATATATATAATTGTAGAATCTGCAGAAGACTTATTGCAAGCAATATTCTTCGTTCATATATTAGTGTTTCAATATGATGGGGATTTTTAAAAATTTAGGTGAGAATAATAAAGTCAGTTTCTGAACACAATAAAAGCGATAAATTTTGTTTACTCAATAAACATATTACGGAACTGATGGTATAGAAAGTTTAAAAAGATGAATTGTCTCAATTGATATATTTAATAAATAGAAAGTTTAATCAAATATAGGACTTTTCATAACATAATCCAAAGCAATTCAGTAAATACAAGCTGATACACGGAATTGTACTTATATTCTAAGTATCAATCATGCCTACCTAGTTCCCCAAAAATGATTATATGAAAATGTTTTTAAACAACTCAATAATTATATTTAGGTTTAGTGGTCAGTAATAGAATAAGGAATACGAGCTTCTTACAAAATGTGACTTGTTAATTGGATACGTTTGGTTATTAAATGCTCGTCTTCGATCACATAGTAGAAAATCGAGTATAAACTATTAAAATCCCCTTATACTTACTTATGTGAAAGTATATAACATTATAATCATAAGTAAATAAATTTTTAGTACAGTAACTTAACTTACTCCTGTGTACAAATCAACACTATTTGGATCAAAACTAGAAGCCTGGAAAAAAAATTGAAAATACAGCATTTTTATAAACGAATACTGCAGATTATAGCGTAGCTCAAACGCATGCGAAAATCACAAAAGCAATATCAACATTAATAGCATCTCTGCCAAAAATTATTGGCTAACATAAAACTGATTAGAAAACTACGAACGACAGGAGTTTAGTGAAAGACAATCATATGGATTATGTTATCGATTAAGATATTCAAAATCGACTAAACAAGAGTTGTACAACGTGAGGTTCAATCGCCTACCTCAACGTATGATGTTCGCCTATCCGAGAGTAAGTTGGAAACAGGTTGGGAGAGACTAAGTCAAAACGTAGCATCAGTCCGCGACTGTTGAACTGAGCCATGTCAACAGATGAAGACAACCAGGGTTCACCCGATCATTGTTATCAATGGCTAGAGACATTGGATGATATAGTCGAAATTTGCCGCAGTGGCATAGATGCATTAACTCACGATCTTCCCGTCAATACTAAGTTTCACAATTATTTTATCTTTTTCATTCTGTAAACTCATTTCTCCTCGAATTATATTGTTTATTTTTAATCTTTTATACTACCACTGATACTATTACTACTTCTACTACTCTGGAGTTTGTTATGACAGTTTCATCTCGCTGTTCTAATATGCTGTTACAATTTGAACCGATACACATGTGTTAGATTCTACATTGAGTATGAGTGACTGAGTACATTGTGAGGTGATTAGTCATAGTTTATAATTAAAGATTTTAGGTAATATAACTTAAAATCAATTTCAGTGGCGTAAATAAATACATTAATTCTTTACCTTCATTTGAATTTCGAGCTCAGTACTATCCAGTTTGTCTTAACATTTAATTTCATTAAGTTATTCTGAAAAATAATTTTGAAGCTCACTTTTCTATTACCGTAAACCTTACTTTTTTCCCTATGCTTTCCATCCCTTTATTTTTATGTCTCAGAGTACTGATGTGAAAAGTGAAGCAATATAGATCCACAAACATTTGTGTGCTGTTGAAGACTGTTTACCTTTGACTGATTTGTGTGACTGGACAATAATCAGCTATTCATAAACTAAAGGTCACTATTAACAATTTTACAGGGGGAGTTTTTGAATTTTGTTTTAAACCCTGTTGAATTGTTAAACGCATATAATAATACAGTGCTCAAGAATTCAGTTTACTGATGTATGAAAATGACACGAATATCGATAACAAGAAAACAGACTTAAAAAACTACGCTAAACCGACGAGAGTATGGGCATTTAATATCACATGTATTTGAGTTCGGGATGTTAGACTGACGATTTAATACAATATTAAATACGAAAGCTCAATACAGAAGTTAAACAAAATTAAATTTTATTGTTTGCATAGTCCCAACATAGTACCTTTTAGTGTAAGTTCTATGGAGATTATTAAATTCTCTCAGTCTGCATCACTAACAGATCTTAGTTAAACAACCACCCAAAATCAGGAAGCACTTGAAAACTGTTTCGTCCTAGTATGGGATTTCTCAGTAGTAGATATCCACAGCCTAGCAGCCGATAATCAAATCCATGACCTTCAGTCTCACTAGTGAACAATTAAACTCTAAACTACTGAGCTGGAATATAATGTGTACATCTCTAAGCCCAATCGATCTGCGATATTGTGTGACCACAACCCATTGCCTGCAGTGGATAACTGTCCTGTACTGGAGACGGTTGAACTATACTAGCGATGGTTATTCTTATGAATACGATTCTCCTTCATACTAGTACACTTTAAATATCTATAACTTTACTGTAAAACATATACTAGTATCAGAAATGTGTAAGTTCCGCCTTTATTTCAAATAAACTGTTGGCAACCTGATCGAATTTAACGCTCACTAATCTCATCAACTGCGCAAATATTAAAATAAATGTTCATATGTTAGAGTTGTTTCGAGTGACTGGTTATGTATGTTAACTGAATACACCAGCCCAGCTTTGTGAAAGGCTTACAATATACCACGAAATTAGTTTATGAAAACTGCAAGCGGAACTACACACAGTGATTAGTACATCTTTTTATTGTCTGTCGTCTGAAGAAACGAGTGGCAATCACAATGGTATTCATCCATCAAATATATTATGCGACAAAAAGCAACTTCATGTGAGTAAAACTGCTCAAACATGTTTGTGGATAAAAAATGATAGCTAATTGCCACTGAAGACTATAATCACTTACATTTTAAGTGTACATACAACGGGGATTTACCATAATACTGGACAGCTTGTACTTAAAACTCTTTAACGTGATCAAATAAACGGTGCAACATAGAGCGATCATTAATATTATTATCTCAAAAAGCAAAGCGCTTATTTATGACCACAATTATATTAAAATCTATTCTCGTCATATGAATACTTGATTGAGTGAAATCTGAAGACTTCCTAACAAACACACATACAAACACAACGTTGAGGGGTTATACATTAGCACACTACACAATATAAATCAGACGATTAGAAAAAAACTGAAACAATTAGCATACAAAGCTGTTTTTATAGTTGGTTTATACCGATCGTATGTCAAAGAGAAAAACAAAATATACACATATCGATTACTAATTACAATCACGACTAATGATCAACTTGAAAAAATATCGAACGACACAATAAAGTGGAAATGCGAACGTTTTATTGGATTTTAGGGCAGTTCACTAAATATTTGCTAATACCGAATACTGCTTCTAGTTAATAAGTATTAATACACCGTATAAGTAATAATATATTACTTAGGCTTCAAGAAATTCACACTATTTCTCCTTCAGTGTAAATCAAGTGCTTTGATCCTTCATTTGGATTCGCACTTCCTACCATACGCACAAAATTCTATGTATTTCAGTACAAATGAGATGTAACTCACGGTTAAGTGTAGCATAAAGTTTTGCGTTATGATGACCAGATTTACGGGTCTTGAAAAAATTTCACAGTACTCAGTTCTAGTTAAAAATCGGAATCTTTATTGGTGTGTATTTAATTTGGCTTAGAACTTGAATACACAAATAACTTTGACAATGCCGGTAACGAGAGGTATAGAAAAGATCACAGATAAACAAGATGAATTAAACGAAACAGAATATAAAAATCCATTATCTTCTTCATTTAAGGTGAACTCTATGTTTGTAAACTATCACTTTCATGATGACAAACTCTGTAAGAGGTTTTTAAAAATCAGACATGTACCAAATGACCTTTAAGGACCCGGGCAAAAGTGCTGGGACACTTGGATTTCAATATAAAAGCGTAACTACTGATGCCTCAATGATAAGCCGATATACTAACAAAGACTTGGATAATGCAAGTGAACTTAAAACAGAGGAATCCGTCAGAACATTATTTACAACAGTTAGACTGCCTGAGATTAAAATTCTTAAATTCTATGGAACACTTCTCGAATTTCCGACGTTCATGAAAGGATTTTAAGGTGAATATCGCAGACAGCGATGGTAACGACGCTCAATAACTTACGCGTCTATTATACTACTCTAAAGAACTTGCTAAGGGAGCAACAGAAAATTGTTTTATTGCCAGAAAATAGGAGTACATCAAAGTCATGAATACTTACATAACCAGTTTCATAGGCCGTATGATACTATAGAGGCATATTTTGCTGAGCTATTAATCGACCAAACATTAGAGGAGGACGACGTAGCAGAATTGAAGAGCTTAATATGACAAGTGACTAACTGTAAGATAACTTTGTCCCAAAGCAAATGAGATGCAAAATACTAACTATGGATAAATAAGTCCGTAATAGTGTTGCGCCCCCAATATGGAGAGTCTGCTCTCCCTCTCGAAATGCTCTCACATTGCCACGCGTATATAGTCTCTGTCAGAGAAGTCCTACTCATTGCCTTCTCGTGGCATTACTGTTGTTTACGAAATTAAGAAGACGAAAAGCGAATGTTCGGCGTTCTAACCAGGTTGGTGAACACGACGGGTCCACCTAGGGGAGTTGGAAAACCCTGATTCCAAATTAATGGTGCACATGGGCTCCAGTACCCTCACGATGCTCCACTGCCTTGTGGACTAGACCTTTAGGTCAAAGACTCCGAGTGCGCCCCCCAAGAAAACCACCTGTTTCAGTTTGGACACCTTGGTAGTATCACAGCTCACACACAAATAAATGTAATGACGATATCTACTGACAGTACTATTCACGCTCCTATTAAATGTCAGACAATTCACATTATTATTATTTACCTCGTCACTTATTCACTCTCTTTTATTCTCGATTTGTGTATCCTTACTTTTTAACTTATGCAGCAGCTCGCCCATGGTGGAAACTCTGTTCTATCTAAACAATCTACAGTCACTGTCTGGTCGAAAGTGAATGCTACTACCGAATACGAATACTGAACCAGTCTTTCTGAAACCACATACACCTATCAAACTGGCTTCCTTCAACGTTCACACACTAATGCAGATTGGACAACAGATAGGGCTGGCTATGTCTTTAGAAAGTCTCAATATCGACGTTTGTTGTCTATCCGAGACCCATATTCAAAACTCTAGTGAAGTACTACAAATTCGCTCTCCATCTGACTCTTTAAAGGACTTGTTTTACGTGCGTTTATCTGGGGACCCTGTGGCATCTCCGTCTGGTCTTGCTGGCGTTGGTGTCGCACTAAGCGCTAGGGCTGAGGCAGCACTAATCGATTGGATCCCCATTAACAGTCGGTTATCTGCTGTTAGATTAGAACGCTCCACCAAAGTGAGAAGAAACCGGCGTGAGAAACGATGTATTTTTGTCATCTCCGCCTATGCCCCGACAGATTGCAGCCCGGATGCAATCAAGGATGTATTCGAACACCAGTTAACTGTTCTCCAGAAAGTGCATTCGACAGATATTGTAGTACTAGCCGGAGACTTGAATGCACAGGTCGGGCGTCAAAGCACACAAGAGAGTCGTTTAGGTGGCCGATGGGGACTTGTTGGTCGCAGAATAGATAACGGGGACCGTCTACTGCAACTGTGCATAGGCTACAACCTGTTTCTGGCTAGTACTAACTTCCGGCACAGTCATCGCCGGTGTGCCACCTGGCGTTCTCCCTCTGCATCTCAAACCTGGACTCAGATTGATCACATCGCGATCAGCTAGCGCTGGCGTGCTTGTGTACAGGACTTTCGCTCCTTTTAAAATACCTATCTGGAGTCTGATCATGTCCTGGTCTGTGCCAATCTTATCTTACTTTTTAATGGCCAACGAATTAATCGTCATCAACGGATTGATGTTAGTAAATTGGTTGAAATTTCTGTTGCAAGTAAGTATCGAACCGAGCTAGCTTCTAGGCTAGCTGCCATCCCACCGAAAAGTATGGATGAGCACTGGTTGCAACTGCATGACTCTATGAAAATGGCGAGTAAAGTCGCTTGCGGCTTTGCGAAACGTCTCGCTTATAAGCACTGAGTTTCTTCTGGCTCCTTACAACTGATCGAAGCCCGTCGGTCTACTCCGGGTGACCGTGAGTTTGATCACAAACGAAGGCTGTTACGTAATGAAATCGGCAAGGCTTGCGTAAGGACCGAGAAGCCTGGTGGTCGGAGCGTGCTAATACGATGGAAGCAGCAGCTGCATCTAGTAACTGCCGGAAGCTCTTCCAACTCATCCGAGCCACTGGCAGCAAGAAGTCTGGTGTGAGTGAAACAATCTGTGAGGATGACGGGATACCGATCATTGACATCAATCGACATCTTGGACGATGGACAGAATTATTTGAAGGGCAGTTCGACTGGCCTGCTGCTCCAACAACACCGATCAGACTGTCCTGCCCTCCATGGCCGTTGACAACTGCTCCACCAAATGACGCGAAAGTCCGCAAGGAACTCCAACTCTTGAAATGCTACAAATCACCGGGCCCAGATGAATAACCTCCGGCTCTTTGTAAAGATGGTGGTGACTTTCTGGTTAAGGGACTGATTGTGTTGTTTGCAAAGGTTTGGGAGCTAGAAAGTGTTCCAACGTCATGGAATGAGTCGATAGTTGTCCCTATCTTCAAAAAGGGTTCACGTTGTTCCTGTAACAACTATCGGGGGATAAGTCTACTTCCGATTGCGTCCAAACTATTGGCTTCTGTCGTTCTTCTTAGGTTATTCAAAACCCGAGAAAGATTGACTTGCGAGGAGCGGGGGCTGGTTTGCGTTCTGGTCGAGGATGTATTGATCATATCTTCACCATCTGTCAATTGTTATCATAGGTCAACAATCGTAGTGTATCTTGACATCAGGGCTGTCTTCGATTCGTTGGACAGGACTGTTCTCTGGGATTGTCTATTGAAGAAGAGTGTGCCTGAGAAGTTTAATAACATATTAAACGCCCTGTATACAAACACCTCAGGCAGAGTGAGGGCATACAACCACCTTTCTCCATTGTTCCATTCAAGCGGTCGGATTAGGTAGGGTTGCCCAATCTCACCATTCCTCTTCAACTTTGCCATCGATGACATTCTGGAAACAGCTCTGATGGATGTAAGTAATGGCGGCGTGGATCTGTTGCCTAGAGAAAGACTTCTCGACCTTGAGTGTGTGGATGATATTGTCTTACTGTGCGATAGTGCCCAAACCATGCAATCGGCACATGATCAGATGGCAATCAGTTTCCACAGGTACGGTATGTGCAGAGTACTTCCATAAGATTGACAGGATTCTAATCCTGTACTTACCCTGGATGGTGAGCAGATTGAAGTAGTTGGGAAGTTCGTGTATCTAGGTAGCTGCATTAGTGCTGGTGGTGGCGTGAGTGATGAGATCGATTCACGTATAATGAAAGACAGAGCGGCTTATGCCAATCTGGGCCACCTTTGGTGCCTTCGTGATGTTAGTCTGGTTGTAAAAGATCGGATCTACAACGCGTCGGTGAGAGTAGTTTCGCTCTATGCTTGTGAAACCTGATCTCTTCGAGTTGAGGATGTTAGACGACTCTCTGTGTTCGGTCATCGTTGTCTCCGAAGGATTGCTGACATTCAGTGGCAGCACCATGCTAGTAATGTAGAGGTTCGGCATCGTGTGTTCGGGCGCAGAGACGACAACCCAATTAGTGTCACCATCTTGAAACATCGACTTCGGTGGCTTGGACATGTTTTACGAATATCGTCCCAGAGACTTCCACGTCGTGCATTATTTGCCGACTCTGGGACTGGTTCAAAAAAGTGGAGAGGTGGTCAGTGTATGCGATGGTGTCGTGGTATGAAAGAAAGCTGCAAAGGGCTAGCTTCTGTTGGTCCTTCACGACTCCCTGGATAGGGTCCTATAGATGCTAACAGAACAACATATAAATTCATTTAGTATTTTTGTTTGAGTCTTTCCATTAATGTTTAGGACTGCAACTGTGCGTATTGCCTCGATATAGCCTTATTTCACAAGCATTGTAAGTGAAGATGGATAGTGGCTAGCAGTGGAATCCAGGACGCGCGTTTCGTCCTATTTGGGACTGGTCAGCACATATGCCAATTAGAGACTGACCAGTTGCAGTCCTAACACATCGATGGGAATATTCAAACAAACAATACCAAATGAATTTAAACTTCACCACATTACACAAGCAAGTGGCTATCAGGACTCAGTGGACGAGTGGATAACGCGATGGCGTTTGAAGTGAAAGGTACTGGGTTCGAGTCCCAGAGTGAACATCAACTCTGAGATGCAGGTGCATCCAGCTGACGAGTCCCAAATGGGACGAAACGCGCGTCCTGGATTCCACTGCTAGCCATTATGCATCTTTGCTTATAAGAACAACATATAGGCCATACAAACAAAACAAGCAATATACGCAGAAAATTCTTGTACTAAGTAAAATTAACTGGGAAAATTATCAATATTGAAATTCATCATAAATGAATAACGTTATTTACTGATAATTTCTGATTACTTTGCTTAGTGACGTAACACCCGTTCTATTCAGCATTTGTGAAACTTTCGATAACTGTAATTACTGTCAAATAACTCCATTCTATTTATGAATTTATAGCCAATACTTGAAATATTTTGATAACATTTGTGACTACTTTATTAAATTACGCAACATCACTCCATTTCTATAGACTTTTACATTCGATATTTAAATGAACATTAACTCTTTTATTTTACCACATACTGAATATTAAAAATTACCTATAAATAAATCGTACAGCGTAAGGAAATGATATTATTGAAAAGAAAATTTTCCTTGACGAAACGCCTTTCTTCTTTGCAATCTGAACCATTCAACATATGATTTGTTAAGTTAACCAGGATAATTAAGTGAAATGACATAAAGGTATCACCATCTACTGTGTGATTTAGTAAATTCTCCATTAACTTATGATATTACATTTAAGATGACAAAGAAAATGACATTACATTCTCAATGAAAAATTGAACAAATATAGACAAATATCTATGGGTGTTAGATTTAAAATTAGTAGGATACAACGCGGTTAGCGAGTTATGATGCATTTTCACACAAACTGATTATGAAATGCGAGGCTATTACAGAGGGTTTAAACAAAAGCATTAGAAATAGACTATAACAGCAATATATGATTGAAAAAATTAGTAACAAATATTATATGTGAAAATTATATTTGAAATAATCTCAGTGGTTGAAATTTAAATAGTTCTTTTGGAAGATCTTGGTTTCGATTATTATCCTGAAGAAATTCAGAAAAGCCTGCTGGACGAAACGTTGGAATTATTTAAATTTCAATCGCTGAGACTATTTCACATGCAATGACTTTTCTATACTCGGCGCCAAATTTTTTGTCAAACTATTCGTTCTAATATTGATGAATACTCGCATAAATCAGTAACAAACAGACGTTTGGCGACAACTAACAAAAAGTAATGTTGACTAACTAGAAAGATTCAGTACGCACTTGTATAAAATATCTCCAATTGATTTTAAACTCCCAGGCAATGAACTTGAGACTTTGAGTGAAAATATTTCCTTTTCAAACATTTCAATACATTAATCTTCAGAACTGTACAAAAATCAATAAAAGAAGCGGATGTCTCTAAACCATTAGACATTTCAATGTTCGTTATTTAGACCGAATTCATCTCAATAACATTGCATTAAAAGCTATAAACTTAAAAATATAACAATAATGTTATTGATAAACAAAAAAACTTACAGCATTTGTAAAACGAACTGGAATTTTACCCTCACGTGTGCAATTCTCAATCTAAAAAGGCATGCCAGAAAAATAGCCAGAAATTAAGAAAAGATAGGGTAATTTTATCAAAGAAAAAAGGGGTTTAATAACGTAATTAATGATAAAATGATAAGTTGAAACAATGCAATTGTTATTAGGTGGTTTTTAAGAAAAAATAAATCTTCAGTCTGACTTCTTATTACTGAATAAGGTTGTACATATTTATTGGATATTTAGATGTACTAAACAATGGTTACATTACCCTGCAAGTCCGAATGATATTAACTTGCCAAACAACATGATACCAAGCACACTTAAATCTCACAAATAAAATTATCATAATTCACAAATACTATGATGAATGATTATTGCTATAACTGCCATAATCGAAATGTTGTACAGAACTTCCCAATGAAAGTCAGACCCAACTGTAGAAGCTAATTTGATATGTTGGTCAGACTTGCTCATTTAAAATGGCCTAACTACACTACACTGACTTTAATATTTGTCCACTGAGGTCCTACCATACCGCGCAAATCAAATACATGGCGGTAAGACCACAATTATCAAATTTCATGTTACATGGTGGAATCGTTTTGTAAACTGTATAGGGATGCAGCAATATTATGGGGTTTTTAATAGGTAAACGTATGAGCAACATAGACTTTCTACAGACAAAGTGGTTTATAAAATGTAGGGCCTAAAGAATGGTGTAACTCAATTTGTCCCACAGATTTTCAGTGGTACCGTTTAGGTTTGAAAAAAATGGAGTTAGTACGATAAGTACTAATACTAAAAAGGCCGTATGAAACTGGCCTCAAGTATTTGTTGGGAACGTTGGTGACTCTTCCAAGTTGATGGGATCACCAATACATTGATGGCTATGCCAACAAATGATGTTAAATCAGTGATAAATATATCAGAAAATTATTAAAACAAAATATAACCTACCACTTGTTTAACATTTTTACCATAAAACCCAGCACCAAATACTGATACAACAAATATGTTGATCATAAGGGAAACGAATAATGCAATGGTTGATTCAATGAAGTAATACATGTTCGCTTCACGAACCTATAAACAACCCCCCACCAACAGAAAAAGAATACATTTTAAAATAAAAAACATGACACTAGCAACGAGAAATTATAAATTAATTTTTTATGTATAACTAGAAAAATAATGAAGAAAGTAGATAAATATAAATTCGATGCACACAAAAAAGTTATACGTGAAAAAGCCACATAAACGAACATCTACTCCTATGACAGATACAGGAAAACATCCAAAATGGATGGTGTCTTATTTTGATACTGATGAGCACTATAATCACGAAAATCATAAAATACATCCCCTTCTTATGACTGATTAACTATGTTATTGTTATCTTTGCTCTACGTACATTTGTTTTAAGTAATAACTCCACTCGATAGCTAAATGTCGTATTGAAATTAATGAAATTGTGATGATTTCAAAATTTTACAATTCAAGTGAAGTAAACTTTTTAACCTTATCACGCTCAAATGAAAAACAGAATGCTCCTGGAACTACCAACCTAAGAGTTAGCCTCATATTTTGAATGAACTGAAAAAGTTAGTACATACTGACTGAATGTATAACTACATCGGTGAGAATAATCAATATGACAAACATTGATTTACCTCGATCTCTTCATATACACTAACATTAATTTACATTACCTGAACTTTAAATGCTTTAATACAAAGTACTCCAATACAAGCTTGAAGTATAGAATCTGTTCATTCTTGTACATTGTAACATTAATATCGAAAAGAGAAATTTTATGACTACGTCCATTTTTAGTGAAGAACTTAAAGTAACTGTTTGCACTATAAACAAGTTATAATTAACAGACGCCATAGCAGTTAATACCTTATAAAAATGGACAAATTACAATTTTCTATGCTATTACCTGATTTGAAAACAAAATCCAAAATATTTACACGCTTTGTCCTTAACCACATAATACTCACTCACTCACCCCATTCATCCACCCCAAAAACACAACTATAGCAGTATTCTAAAACAGTACATGATATTGACCCTACTGGTGAAACAGTTTTTTTTCGAACTCTACACTCTAATATTTGATGCCGTTAAAATCAAAGTTCACTTACTAATTCATATTTGCTAATAATACTAGTGTTTAGCATTTATTCATACAACCTATAATATTATCACTTACAATACTATAAATAAATAGGCCATTAAGTACACTATCCAAAAAAATTAGGATGAATGTGGTGTGAAGAAAATTGATGAAAGGTTGCGTAATAATGGAATACGACTTTTAAAAAATAATAAATCACACAGATCAAATAGAAATACTACTTAGACGGATTTCATTCGACTCAAAATTACAATTTATTGTTTGTCAGGGAAAAAGGCTTCTATATTGAATAATGTATTGATAACATTTCTTAAAAGTAACTAATACAAAAGTATCATCGGTTACCATAGAAATTAATTTGAAAATGCCTTGTTGAAAAGTACACACATGGATTAAATAAAGATAATCATTCAACACACCACACAGTATATACGTTTAATGAAACATATAAATCATAGAGAAAATTAAGAACGTACCAGAAATGGATTATTTCGATCTATATCACGTGATTTAACAAGGGCAGAATGCAAGTAAAAATTATGAGGCATTACAACAGCACCGAGTATACCAACAGCTTGTTCCAATTCAGGCCAACCACAACCAGGGCAAGAAGGCACAAATAATCCGCGTAAAAGAGATAATTGGTCAGGTTTTACAACAATATACTGAATGGAAAGAAATTAAATATGGAAATTATGTAATTACTTTAATGACATCATTCTGTAAATAAATGAGAAGCAACCATTTAATTCATGAAACACAAAAACACATTTCGATTTTTAACTCGTAGACACGTTTGTGAAGATTTTCCGCCAAAATGACATTAGCTTCAGAACGCTTAAAATTCAAGAAGCGCTTAAAGGAGGTTTTGTCATAATTTCTAACTCCTCAGCAAAACGCACTCATAATGCCATATAAGATAGAACCTAAACCCACAGGCCTCGTGAATAGCACAGTTGTTTCGCATCACAAAGCTATAATCCTACGGTTATGTCTTTTCAAGACAATGTAAAAGAAAAATGGAGTAACTATAGAAAACAGTTCTACAAAATGGATATCTTGTTAACTTTATGAAAAGATTCCTGCACAGTTCCAAAATTAAGACAAAAACAGCCATTAAGGGTGAGAAGACCTCTTACTTAGAACTGTTAGTCACAATTGACATAGTTTGGTATTACGTGGATCAGGCAAAGTTTCCACAAGACATCAGCACAGCAAAATGAAATTTTCAAGATGAATACCAAAGTAGTAGAAGTATCAGTGACAGTAAGGAATATCATAATACTGAATACATAAATGGGTAGAGTAGTAAGAGATAATATTTCCCTCTGTTCATCTACACACCAATAAGTCTCACTGTAGATAACTGAATTTTATCCTTTCTAAACAAATTGTTTCGATTCGTCTATAAATGTACGATATAGGTTATCAGGTTTTCATTATAAGACCTGAAACCTTTGTGAAAGATTTCATTTCCATTGAGGTTAATTAATTTTCAGAAGAATTTTACAAATCTTGTCTTTGTAACAAAATAACGATTTATTTGTGAAATCCCAATGAGTAGAAATTAGAATTTCTAATATTTCGCGAAATCATGTAAACCATTTCTTCATATCCATTGTCTTCTATTTATAGATGAGAGCTCAACTTTTGTAAAACTGTTCGCTTAAACATTGATGAAAGTTCAAACAAAAAAACTTTAGCAGGTAATAATTTTTTTCTTTTTTGGAGATTTCATATATCATGATCCCTTGATTAATTTAAATAAAGCGACAAGAACAAGATATGTAGAATAACATGAATTCACTATATTTCAGTTCCAAATTTACACTAGAAACACCATCTCCAAAAACACTGCATTTTATTACGTACCATAAATCAATAAAGTTTAGTTGGAAACAAAAAGAAACAACATGTTTAACATAACAATATTTATATGTCAGAGATGAAAGCGAAGTTATCAATGATAATAAATAAATAAATAAAATTTTATTTATTTATTTATTTATGCCCTGGTACGGCCGAGAGTGGGGAGAGTCCGCTCTCTGTCTCCAAATGCTCTCACATGGCCCCGCCAATATATAGCCTCTGTCAGGGAAATCCTACTCACTGCGTTCTCGTGGCACCGGTATTGTTCACAAAAGTGAGAGGACGAAAAGCGAATGTCTGGTGCTTTAACCGGGTTGGTGGATGTGGAGGATCCACCTAGGGGAGTTCGAAAACCCTGATTTCAAACCAATGGTGCACATGGGATCCAGTACCTTGAAGGATCGAATGGCGTATGAACCAACTGTTGGTCACCGGCTACCATGGGACTGCATCTCCTCACGATGCTCCACTGCCTTGTGGACTAGACATTCATGTCAAAGGCTCTAGGTGTGGCCCCTAAGAAAACCACCTGCTTCAGTCTGGGCACCTGGGCAGTATCACAGCCCTCACACAAATCGAATGAGATTTATGAGACGCATATTTATCTGGTGCTTCCTTTTACCAATATTTATGTGTTTAAATAAATAAATAAATAATTTAAACACATAAATATTGGTAAAAGGGGGCACCAGATATATATGCGCCACACAAAACAATGAGAATGAGAAGAGAAAAGGGGTAAGGTGAATATAAGAAAAAAAAAGAGGGAACAACAAGAACCACAGAGTGTGTTGATGTAATAACAAGAGTAATAATAAAGGAAACAGAAATATACAACCGGAAGACTCTTTCAATTAAGAAAGTTATAACCACTCTTTATGAATAAAGTAAAAGAAGGTTGCAGCAGGATCGCTACTGGCTTCTATTCTGAGCCATATCTGATAACGTCTCTAGCCACTGTGTTGCACCATCTATAGGACCCTATCCAGGGAGTCGTGAAGGACCAACAGAAGCTAGCCCTTTGCAGCTTTCTTTCATACCACGACACCATCGCATACACTGACCACCTCTCCACTTTTTTGAACCAGTCCCAGAGTCGGCAAATAATGCACGACGTGGAAGTCTCTGGGACGATATTCGTAAAACATGTCCAAGCCACCGAAGTCGATGTTTCAAGATGGTGACACTAATTGGGTTGTCGTCTCTGCGCCCGAACACACGATGCCGAACCTCTACATTACTAGCATGGTGCTGCCACTGAATGTCAGCAATCCTTCGGAGACAACGATGACCGAACACAGAGAGTCGTCTAACATCCTCAACTCGAAGAGATCAGGTTTCACAAGCATAGAGCGAAACTACTCTCACCGACGCGTTGTAGATCCGATCTTTTACAGCCAGACTAACATCACGAAGGCACCAAAGGTGGCCCAGATTGGAAGTACTCTGCACATACCGTACCTGTGGAAACTGATTGCCATCTGATCATGTGCCGATTGCATGGTTTGGGCACTATCGCACAGTAAGACAATATCATCCACACACTCAAGGTCGAGAAGTCTTTCTCTAGGCAACAGATCCACGCCGCCATTACTTACATCCATCAGAGCTGTTTCCAGAATGTCATCGATGGCAAAGTTGAAGAGGAATGGTGAGATTGGGCAACCCTACCTAATCCGACCGCTTGAATGGAACAATGGAGAAAGGTGGTTGTATGCCCTCACTCTGCCTGAGGTGTTTGTATACAGGGCGTTTAATATGTTATTAAACTTCTCAGGCACACTCTTCTTCAATAGACAATCCCAGAGAACAGTCCTGTCCAACGAATCGAAGACAGCCCTGATGTCAAGATACACTACGATTGTTGACCTATGATAACAATTGACAGATGGTGAAGATATGATCAATACATCCTCGACCAGAACGCAAACCAGCCCCCGCTCCTCGCAAGTCAATCTTTCTCGGGTTTTGAATAACCTAAGAAGAACGACAGAAGCCAATAGTTTGGACGCAATCGGAAGTAGACTTATCCCCCGATAGTTGTTACAGGAACAACGTGAACCCTTTTTGAAGATAGGGACAACTATCGACTCATTCCATGACGTTGGAACACTCTCTGGCTCTCTCACGCCGATTTCTAATAACACATAACCGTCTGTTAGTGGGGATCCAATCGATTAGTGCTGCCTCAGCTCTAGCGCATAGTGCGACACTAACGCCAGCAAGACCAGACGGAGATGCCACAGGGTCCCCAGATAAACGCACGTAAAACAAGTCCTTTAAAGAGACAGATGGAGAGCGAATTTGTAGTACTTCACTAGAGTTTTGAATACGGGTCTCGGATAGACAACAAACGTCGATATTGAGACTTTCTAAAGACATAGCCAGCCCTATCTGTTGTCCAATCTGCATTAGTGTGTGAACGTTGAAGGAAGCCAGTTTGATAGGTGTATGTGGTTTCAGAAAGACTGGTTCAGTATTCGTATTCGGTAGTAGCATTCACTTTCGACCAGACAGTGACTGTAGATTGTTTAGATAGAACAGAGTTTCCACCATGGGCGAGCTGCTGCATAAGTTAAAAAGTAAGGATACACAAATCGAGAATAAAAGAGAGTGAATAAGTGACGAGGTAAATAATAATAATAATAATAATAATAATAATAATGTGAATTGACTGACACTTAATAGGAGCGTGAATAGTACTGTCAGTAGATATTGTCATTACATTTATTTGTGTGTGAGCTGTGATACTACCAAGGTGCCCAAACTGAAACAGGTGGTTTTCTTGGGGGGCCACACCCGGAACCTTTGATCTAAAGATCTGATCCACAAGGCAATGGACCAATGATTGGTTTATACGCCATTTGTTCCTCAAGGGTACTGGATCCCATGTGCATTATTGGTTTAATCAGGGTTTTCCAATTCCCTTAGTTGGATCCTCCACATCCACCAACCCGGTTAAAGCACCGGACATTCGCTTTTCGTCCTCTCACTTTTGTGAACAACACCGGTGCCACGAGAAGGCAGTGAGTAGGACTTTCCTGACAGAGGCTATATACGAGTGGCCATGTGAGAGCAATTCGACAGGGGGCGGCCCCTCCACACTCTCAGCTGTACCAACGGCACCTAGGGGCCTTGAATCAAATGGATTGTTTACATTCCTAGTAAATTAGTACAATAAAAGAATCACCAGGGTTTCAAATTTGTTTCAAATGAACTTGGTGTATAATTTTAAATTAGGAAATAATAATTCAAAAATGAAGAATATTTGAGCCAACAATTGTTTTCAATAACTTCATCATCAGGCTCTACAGTTGTAAGTTCATAATCATTATGATATTTTACAAAGGCCTAAATGAGACATGTATTTATTAATTTGACAATGTTATATGTTGAAAATGGTGAACGTTTGCATCTGTTACGACATATATACTTCGAAATTGTGTTGTTTGTAAATTCGAAAGGTCATTTAATTAAGGTCAAAATGATTTGCAATAAAGTGTCCAATCACAATATAGTAATATAGCAAAAATGAAAATGCAAAAAATCGTGTGAATAAAATTCATAGCAGGAGAATTTCATCTTGTCAATTGAAACAATAATGATAAATAGTAAGAGTAATAATATTGTTATGTGAATATAATACGTAATAAGAGGGGTGTTATCAAGGTAATTACGACAAACGAATTGGGAATGACGGATGTGAAGACTAAGTAGAGGTAATCAAAAAAAGGGGGAGAGGTTTATAATATTCAGTTTAGGTATCTCGTTATCCAGTCGTATGCCAGGGTAAACACAGAGGCTGGATATACCTTTTCTGGATACATAAGTTTGGTTTTCTGGAGTTCATCCAAATGGCTTCGGGTATGCAGAGTAACCGTAATCTAGCTCCTTGAGGTAGATTTTGCAGAACTTGATATAAAACAGAGGAAGATTCCTCTATTTTGATATGATCTTCACTACATACCAAGTGAGAAAGGATGGTGCTGTTAATCGATTCGCTGACTCCATTTCCCAACCATCTCTGCTAACCATGCTTGTGAATTAAGGTATATCGAGGCAATACGCACAGTATGCACATATGCCAATTAGAGACTGACCAGTTGCAGTCCTAACAAATCGATGGGAAGATTCAAACAAACAATACTAAGTTGAATCATGCTGGTACATGTTCACGAATACACAAGGATAAAGCACACTGAGTACGGCCTATGTAACTAGCTCAACAGGAGCAATCGAATTGGTATACACAAATAGAGGAGCACACCTTCGGTAACCTATCCTTGATTAGTTGTGTGAGTACTGGTTTAGTTGAGAAAATTATATGTAGCTTGGCGGCGTGAAACGTCCTTTCAATAGATCTTTTCAGTCGACGTGTTAAAATATCACCCTCTATGTTCCCTTTAAAGTCCATTCTCAGATATAGGGTTTCTTCTGTATTCGAAAAACAAAATTTTTTCCGAAATTTTATTTGAAAAATATCTTAGAGAATTTTTTAAACTGAATTTCAAAAATCGTAAGATCAAATGATAATTATAAATATTTATATATGATATTAACTAACCTCATAAGCAAATGTCACAGCCATAATAGTTATTAAAAGTCCAAAAAAGAACTCCAATTTACGTAAACCATATTTATCAAGAAATAAAAAGGTGAAAGTATCCAAAATAGTAATAAGTACACCAGCCCATAAAGGTACATAACCAACACTTAGTAAATTTATAGCTATAGCAGTACCAATCACCTCCTAGAATCAAACAAGAAATAAAGAAAGAAAGCAGATGATCACAAGAAACTGCTTTATCAACAACAACGACTGAGATTATAGTATTTAAACATATTAATTTTTTATATCAACTTTACGTTGAAAATTCGAAAATACGATCACACCGTCTAATCTATAGAGTTCAACAAATACATTAGTACGATATATATATATATAACTCCGCCTGTAGCTCTTCTAGAGATACTGCCGATCCCAAGCCCGGGTAAAGGAGGTGGGGTTAGCGACCCCATCCCGTAGAAAAGCTAACTCGCTAAAAAAAGGCTAACCAGAAAAAATAATTCAAACCATTTAAACTCTGCCCTCCGAGTTGAAAGAATAATTATGACGTCTCATGATGAAAGCCGAAATTCTTCGGAAGTCACGAGACCGATGCACCTTCTAACAACCAGAGCAACACTCTTTATAGGTATATGGAACGTCCGGACAATGTGGGAGACAGGAAAAACCAGCCAAATAGCAATGGAAATGAGAAGATACAACTTGGCAGTACTCGGAATCAGCGAAACCCATTGGATACAAACTGGACAACAAAGGCTAGATACAGGAGAGATGCTGCTGTACTCCGGTCACGAAGGGTAAAATGCTCCACACACTCAGGGAGTTGCTCTAATACTGTCCAAAGAAGCACGAAATGCACTTGTGGGATGGGAATCTCATGGACCCAGGATAATCAAAGCATCATTCAGAACAAAGAAGCAAGGGATCGCAATGAACGTTATCCAATGTTATGCACCCACCAATGATAGCAACGACGATGATAAAGATCAGTTCTATGAAAGGCTGCAATCAATTATAGAGAAGTGCTCACGAAAGGACCTCACAATCCTGATGGGAGATCTAAATGCTAAAGTTGGGGTGGACAACACATGATATGAAGATATAATTGGACGACATGGACTAGGAGAGAGAAATGAAAATGGGGAGAGACTTGCAAACCTATGTGCTTTCAACAAATTGGTTATAGGCGGCACAATATTCCCACACAAGCGCATACGCAAAGCTACATGGATCTCGCCGGACCACACCACAGAGAACCAGATAGATCACATCTGTATCAACAAAAAATTCCGAAGGTCAATGGAAGATGTGAGAACCCGGAGAGGAGCTGGCATAGCTTCAGATCACCACCTGGTTGTGGCCAAGATGAGACTGAAGCTAAAGAAACACTGGACAACTGGACAAACAGCACTACAAAGGTTCAATACAGCCTTCCTTCGAGATATTGACTAGCTCAATGAATTCAAGATAACTCTCAACAACAGGTTGCAAGCTCTACAGGATCTACTGGAAGAAAGGGATAAAAGAAGCACTAACTTCAACGTGACAGGAGGTTCTTGGTTCTAAGAAGCAACATCATAAGGAATAGATCTCTATGGGAACCCTGGACAAGATCCAAAAAAGGAAGAACAAGAAACTAGCAATTAACAACAGCCGAACACGAGCAGAGAAAGTCAAAGCACAAGCAGACTACGCAGAAGCAAACAAGGAAGTGAAGAAAAGCATTAAAGCCGACAAACAGAAATACATGGGAGGACTAGCAACGGCGGCGGAAAAAGCTGAAAGAGAAGGGAATATGAAACAACTATATGATACAACGAAGAAATTGGCAGGGAGATATAGCAAACCAGAGAGACCAATCAAGGACAAAGAAGGAAAGACAATCACTGTGACTCAAGAACAGAGGAAAAGATGGGCAGAATACTTCGAGGAACTGCTGAATAGACCAGCCCCATTGAATCCACCGGACATCGAACCAGCACACACTGACCTTCCTATAGATGTCACTCCACCAACGATCGAAGAAGTCAAGATGGTCATCAGACAAATCAAAAGTGGGAAGGCGGCAGGACCTGACAATATACCAGCAGAAGCACTGAAGTCAGACATTGAAGTAACTGTAAACAAGTTTCACCTTCTATTCAAGAATATTTGGGAAGAGGAACAAGTGCCAATGGACTGGAAAGAAGGATATCTCATCAAGATACCAAAGAAAGGAGATCTGAGCAAATGTGAAAACTACAGAGGCATCAGTTTGTTATCAGTACCAGGAAAAGTTTTCAACAGAGTGCTGCTGAATCGGATGAAAGACGCAGTAGACGCTTAACTTAGGGATTAACAGGCTGGATTCCGTAAGGATCGGTCGTGCACAGACCAGATTGCGACACTACGGATCATCGTTGAACAATCAGTTGAGTGGAACTCATCACTATACGTCAACTTCATTGACTATGAGAAGGCGTTTGACAGCGTGGACAGGAGAACATCATGGAAGCTTCTTCGACACTATGGAGTTCCTGAAAAGATTGTCAACATTATCCAAAACTCATACGATGGACTACAGTGCGAAGTCGTGCATGGAGGACAGCTGATAGATGCATTTCCAGTAAGGACCGGAGTCAGACAAGGCTGTCTACTCTCCCCATTTCTCTTCCTTCTAGTGATTGACTGGATTATGAAGAATTCGACATCTGAAGGGAAATACGGAATACAATGGACTTCTCAGAATCAATTAGATGATTTAGACTTCGCAGATGACCTAGCCCTCCTCTCTCATACACACGAACAAATACAGATGAAAACAGAAAATGTAGCAGCAGCCTCTGCATCGACAGGCCTCCACATTCATAAAGGAAAAAGAAAGATTCTCAAATGCAACACGAAGAACACCAACCCCATCACACTTGATGGCGAAACTCTGGAAGATGTGGTAGCATTCACGTACCTGGGAAGCATCATTGATAAATAAGGAGGATCGGATGCAGATGTAAAGGCGAAGATTGGCAAAGCAAGGGCAGCGTTTCTACAATTTAAGGACATGCGTGACTCAAAACAACTGTCAACTAATTTCAAAATCAGAATCTTCAATAAGAACGTCAAGACTGTCCTACTGTACGGAGCTGAAACATAGAGAATTACAACCTCCATCGTCAAGAAGGTACAAGTATTTATAAACAGTTGTCTACGCAAAATACTCAACAACTAATGGCCGGATACTATCAGCAACAGCGTTTTATGGGAGAGGACAAACCAACTTCCAGCTGAAGAGGAAATTAGGAAAAGACGTTGGAAGTGGATCGGATATACATTAAGGAAATCACCAATGTGCATTACAAGGCAATCCCTAACTTGGAATGGTAAAGAAAAGCGGAAAAGAGGAAGGCCAAAGAACACACTACGCCGGGAAATAGAAGTAGATATGAAAAGGTTGAATAACAACTGGAAAGGAAGGCTCAGGACAGAGTTGGATGGAGAATGCTGGTGAGCGGCCTATGCTCCTCGACGAGGGGTAACAGTCGTAAGTAAGTAATATATATAAGCCTAGAAATCGGATAGTCAAAATTTCGTCGTTAGTCTTTCTTGAAAAAACAACGACTGAATATTCAGACGTAGAAAGAGTAAACCAAGACTTTTGTGATTGATTTTGAATCACTTTATTCAGAATATCTAGAGAGAATTTGTCATTATATGGATATAGCCAAGAGAACTACATTCCGATATCTTTTGAAAGCTGATATCAACAATTAAGTCTTGTGAACAACTTTCATCCAACCAACTACATTGAATACTACCCCTATCATCAATAGTTCAGCATTCAGACCAAATGTGTTCTTCGTCAGTGCGAGGAGGGCCCACAGATGAACTTGAGGAAGCTCTAAAAGTTCAGAAGGAGTCGAAGATAATCCATTCAATCACCTTTTGGAAGAACACTCCAGGATCTCTACGTGTAGCTTCCCTATTGGACAAAAGCCAAAAACCCCTGTATGCGGATTGAATGATTATAATGATGATTTCGCTTTTATTAAAAACTATAAATACCTGAGAGTTTTCTACCATATTTGACAGTCACAAGCTCGAAAACATGTTCTTTAAAACAGGGTTTAAGTATGAAAAAGCAGTTGAAACTCAAGTACCTAACCCGCTAAACAATCACTCTTTCATCTCACTGAGAAGTATAAAAACCTAAGCTTATGTATTTTTAAGTGTTAGTAGATTTGTTTATCATATAAACTTTCCCAACTTGCTAGTTTCTTCAAGAAATCACCACATGGTTTTCAAGGTTTAACCACACTATATGATACGTATCAAAGTAAACCCAATCGATGTGCACTAGCTTTATCTAATGAATTACGGGCCTTGCTAAGACTATAAAATTGTTGTTCAAGTGTCTACCGTCTGCATGAACAACGTTTTGGACAATCAAAGACTTTTGGGTTTAGTTCCTCCTTTAAACAAGTGACTAACAACTGAAGGCAAGTGTACAGAGAGGACCGTTACACAGTTAGAGTGAAAAAATGATAATGACATCTTATGCTGCAGATAATATTAATAAAATTCATAACAAAGTAAACACAACTTACTTGCATATCTGACCCAATAATTGCAACTTCAACCATAAGCCATAGTATAATACGTGCCGGCGTAGGATATTCATCATAGCATACTTCTGCTAAATGTCTACCTGACACTACACCCAAACGAGCAGCCAGACGTTGTAGAAATAATCCCATCAATGTAGCTAGGAGTAAAAGCCATAGAAGCTGAATGTCAGTTAAAAAAGAAAAACACGGTGCTTGAAATAAACCCAACAAATTCCTCACAATAAATATTGTTAACAAATAAACTGTGTTACGGCAAAACTTGAATTAACAAATTTAGACGTCTAGACTGGTAATTTGAAATCTATGGATTTGAACCTTGTCACTATTCAGATTTTCTTTTAATCACAAACATCATCCTAAGAAATAAAAAGGTAGTTCGCTAACCATACAACATATATAATAATTATAGCAGAGACTGCAGAAAAACGATGCGCGACTTGCAATCTCGGCTAAATAACAAAAAATTATATAAAACACAATAAGAAAGATTAGATTTTATAATACCATACAATTACATGAGTTTCGTAAAACACAAAATATTCTTGAACATATTGAATAAACAGTAAGTAAACAACCGTGACTAAATAGAGACAAACACGGACAAGTGTCAATAAAAGGTTTGGTTTCCGATAACAGTAATTGGAATAGAAACACGTCGTATAAATCACAGACAAAGACTAACAACCAATTACAAGGTACCAGCAAGTCTTTTGTTGATTGTCAACTGAAACAAGATAGACGTAGTAAAAATAAACCCTATGATCTAAGTAAGGATTAAAGATAATCACATATTTAAATGTGAGGAACTAAAGTTTCACCGAAAACAAGTCGAGTTTTTTATATTTTATTGATTTTCCAAGAAGAACGGAACTTATTTGACATAAAGATGTAGCTTAATGATTGAGATACTTAAGCGTCAATCAGTGTGTCATAAAATGGGACCATATCGCTAACATTGAAAAGTGAGAAACAGGACAGTACTACAATTCTTTACAAACAGATGAAATACAGATCCCGTTTACGTTCACGCAGTTGCTTAATTATTCCACTACCCACTGAATCCATTAAGTGTAGATAACTACAAGTTCAGGTACCTTGGGAGTGTCAATAACCCCATTCTCTCAAAAAACAGGAAAACAACTGTCTACCACAATATATTCTCTAAAGACTTACAAAAGGATTTGATTTCATAATGACAAGTTGTTATATCTTGTGGGTTTGAGCCCCTATCAGTTTATGACGTGACGATGCCTTCAATTAGAGAACAGTGAATTATCGACCGAACCAATGACGCGTCAAACCCGTACGAGCAGTCTAGAGTCTCTATCGGTCCTGCTTCCCGCCTAGCCCTGTCTGTTAAGTCCAGAACACCAATAACAGCATCTGAGATATGAATTGTATATTTCAGACATACTGGATTTATATACAAACCAAACAGATCACATCGTACCATAAAACAGGAAACAACATTAGTACAAGCTTTAGCCAAATGTGGTTGTGAATGTGGGAGACAGTAATTGATAGACTGGGCATAACTCAAGAATGTTAAACCGTATAATAATAGTTCATAGGTCAAAATAAAGCTTGTAATAAGAGGGACAATAATATGAATAGTTTAGTCACTTAAGAATTATACAATAAAAATATATGTATAATATTAGTCCAGAAATAGACTCCGACAGTTTCTATTCATTATTCTTACTGGGATATAACACAAATCATATTTAATTTTTTAAATAGCCTAGTTCAATAGTAAGATCAATTAGAACAGATTTTATAAACATGGTAATAACTTACCCTATAATTAGCGATTACACCACTTTGCAAATCTGATTCTATATTTCCAGGATCCAGATAGGCAATACTCATTAAGAATCCAGGGCCTGTGAACGTCCATAATCGTTGAAAACTGAACATGTTTCTCTCCTTTAACAGAAAACGCGGATACTATTATAATAAGAATTGGGACATAAATATTAACATATTAAAGTGAAGGAAAAAACAATGATGATGATTACAATAATGAACACAATTCAAAAATAACGGGAAAAATAATATAATATTCATAGTTCGTTTTCACCAGGAATTGATATGAATTGGAGCAGTAAAGCTTTAGATAATTATTTTTATTTTAATAATAATCATACAACTCATCTAATAAGTTCATGTGTCCAGATTTGAGCCATACTGTTTACATTAGGGGGGGTCAGTAAAACTGTAGTGTCAGGAATCGGAACTAGAAGTCATACTGACTGAATAGGAAAATGAAGAGAAAGGAAAACGGGAAGCAATTGAAATAACAACAGAAATGGACGAACGATGTAGTTTATGAAAGGGAAAATTCAAGAAAGGTGTGCAAATAGTTGTTTTTATATTTTACACAGACACTGTGTAGTTTTGCTTAATAAAACTGATTTCCCCTGCCGAAGTCCTCAGTCATTACAATACTACTTTGCTGATCAAACTAAATTAAGTAAAGCGGGGTAAAAATCTGAAACCTACTGGCTGAAAGTTGAATGCTTCAATTTCTAAGACGACACTCTTAGTTTAGAGCTAATAATCAATATCACTACCGTCAACCCAACACCGGCGATTAAACCCCACCATCAGTGAAAAATATCAGTTACTACTTCTGACTCAGTTGACCATACAAAACAATATTTGCCACGATATAATCTATAAAAATAATTGTTTAATATTCATTGGTTGGTATTTCATAAGAGGAGTTTACCAACAATAATCCTAAAGTGCAAAAAAATGAAATGTTCACCTACAGAACATGAGAAAACTCATTTGGCTTAAAACGCGAGATAAAAATCAAAACCTGAAACTTCACTATCTACGAATTAACTAAAATTTACTTCAAGTAGAAATATTTAGTAAGCCACATTTAAAGATAAAACACTGAACATAAACAGGCAAGTATGATTTATTTACCATCATATAAATTGGACCAACAGATTCGGTTATCAGTAACAGACAATATATATGATCTGAAGATGTTATTACGATAGGATGGCTATAGTACCAGTACTACACTTCCACGCCCTTTTGCCATATGTCTGACTGGATATCAATGTAATTCTACTGGCACAAAATTATTCTAAAGATTTGTTTTCCAATTTTGTTTTCCAAATACACATTTATAGAATAAATTTTACATAAAACATACAAAAATAACCGGATTGGTCACATACCACGTGAGCAGTGTACATGTCAAGCTAGTTAATTAAGACTAAATATGAACAAATTGTTCGACAGATATTTTAATCTCAACTAATCAACAATACAATTAAACCAACCAAAATAAAAATATAACAAAATGCTGAAATAATCTCAATAGACAATAAAAGAAACGGATTTCAATTGTATGTATTACTTTGAATGGTTTGATTTTTGAGTCGATTAAATTCAATGACACGAATTTACTGCTGAGTGTTGTAGGTATATCACCCTCAAACACAGACCTAAACTTTATCCCGTAAAATAAGGTCTCATTAAATTTACAGTACTGTTAATCTACATAGTTTTGTTAGTTAGATAGTTAGTGCAATGAAACTAGTATGTAACACTGAAAAAACCCCATATATTTAAATAACTCCGTCAGTCAGTCAGTCACAACGTAGAACTTCGTACGTACGTACATCAGTTCGAGTTGCCATACCACATTAGCACAGAGATGCAGTTGTCGATTCAAATCTCATAGTGGTCGAAGTAGTAAGAGTATAAGCATTAGTGTGAAAGATTAGGGTTTGAAGATGTTATTGAAGGAGTATAATACGGTGAAATAAATTTGTAAAGAGAAAAAAGATAGACACATGAAGAATTCAGAAGATTAGAATTTGGTAGAACACAAGGAGTGGATGCACGTTCGCCATTGCAAACGATTTTGAGCCATGTCATTCAAGGTCTATAACCATCGATTGTTATCATCTCGCAAATTCTAACCAGGTAGTCTACACCTACCAATATGGCTCAGTTAAATTGTCAGTGACTTCATGAATTTGTGCCACGTTTTGGTCTGGCCGCCCCTAGCTTTCTTCCAGCCTACTCCTATACCACAAAACATTGCACATCGGGGCAGTCGGTATATTAAAGTAGCTCTCAAATAAGCATTAATTACATCTATAAATTAAACTTTGTCAGTGAAAATTATGAGGGTTTTGAAAATGATTGAAAAGAGCAAGTTATATAAGGAAGTTAACGACATCTGTTTAGTCTGAAAACCTCCAGACTGTAACGCAAATTATCATTAAAATGAGTAATCTATGCAAAACCATTATCTTGATAATGATCGGTTGCTAACTACTGACTATATTTGACGAGAATTCCAAGTCCAAGTGGAAAATGATAAGTGAAGTTCTGTAATGTCGAAAGTGAAACAAATGCCACTGATTGTATTGGACGACGATTGCGCTTCGTATCACAAAACGACTAGTCAGAAACGTGAACCACGGAATTTCACCAGTGGTACGAAGATGATACAACCATCAAGAAATCTGAAGACCCTGGAGTTGATCTCTGTCAAGGTTCTGTGCATGAACTGTCAGATTCATTAGAATAACAGATGAATTCACCTGAATAATGCACTCGAGGCCTGTCTGAGTCAGAAAACTGTTTTGGTTACTCAGAAATATTTGCATATATATAATGGTTTTACAAATCATAGTTATCAGTATAGGGTTGTTCAAATCGTTGAGTTACACTAAAATCACGAACCAATCAATGTTAGACCACCACTGGAAACTTGGGGGCACTGTACGGCCGTTCTGTCCCTAGTGTGGAACTCCTCAGCACTGCTCATCCTTAATCCTGCACACAGAACTTGAACCCAGGCCCCTCGATCTCGCGCACGAATGCTTAACCTCCAGACCACTGAGCCGGCATTTAACGGTGTTAATGTTTAAATTCAACCAATCCAAGATACTGTGCGACCATTTTCCATTACCCTCAGTGGATAACCACCTCACACCCGACACGGCTGAACTTCACTGGTTAGGGCTTCTCACTAGAAATTCAAGAATTACCTCTCGAAACTAGTCACTAGTGAGCTCATGATAACTTTCAGTATGGGGTCCCAGAGACTGTTGAATCTCATTGAAATCCTGAGCCATATGGTGAATTTAGACATAAACACCGTTGGATGGAGGTTAAGCGTGTTCGTGAACAAGACTGAAGGTCCCGGGTTCGAGTCCAGTATGCGGGATCAAGGATGAGCAGTGCTGAGGAGTCCCACACTAGGGACGGAACGGCCGTACAGTGACCCCAAGATTTTAATGGTAGTTTAACATTGGTGGGTTCATGATTTCAATCAAAATCATGACTACTTAAATCTAAGCTAACATTCAAAGTGATAGAGCAACAACAACAGACAGTCGTAACTAGTCAAACGTAAAATTGATAGATTCAAAATGGTTGTTCACATAAAATGCGTTTCAACCAATAAGAGCATAACCAGTTTGTTGATACCTAATTTAACCAATGAGATACAAAACAAGAGGACGAACCCTGATTACTAATAAGTAATATAGTCATGAAATAAGGAAATTAGCATGCCCTCTTGAGTTCTTAAGTAGGACAAAACAGCTCTTTAACATTTCTTGGTTTTAGAATGGTTCTCCAGCTAATATCAGTTCGAAATAACTTTAAATCCAATATTACACTTTATGTCAGGTGTTGTGGCATGAAAGAAAGCTGCAAAGGGCTAGCTTCTGTTGGTCTTTCACGACTCCCTGGCTGGGGTCCGAGAAATGGTGCAACACAGTGGCTAGAGACGTTATCAGATATGGCTCAGAATAGAAGCCAGTAGCGATCCTGCTGCAACCTTCTTTTACTTTCTACATAAAGAATGGTTCTAACTTTCTTAACTGAAAGAGTCTTCTGGTTGTACATTTCAGTCCGCCTTATCTTTTCATCCCTTCTCTTCCTACTTTCATTATTTTGTGTGGCGCATATGTACCTGGTGCCCTTTTGTACCAATATATATGTGTTTAAATAAATAAATAATAAATAAATAAACACTTTATGTCTCTCCAGAATAAGGTAAAAATGAAATTTCATTATCTGGTAATTAGAAGTGTTACTTTGACAATCCAATTCAGGATCGATGGAGAGAGTTAATGGTGGTGGTCTGATGTTTAGACTACTAAGCTACTTTTCACTCGAGTTACACATACTGTGATCTGAATACGTTATTTTCCATTGTTCGTCCTATGACCACTACTATAGTTATTTTCAATTTTTAGACATTTTGATGGTTTCTTTTTAGTGAGTTACCGTTTAGGACAACAAAAATAATAGTCCCCAATTTAAACCAGAAATAATCTTTATTAGTTTAAATAGAAATACAAACTTTTCACATCAAAAATACTAACAGATTCGATCAATGTTTGAAAATGTGGGGATTATCGTGACAATAATGTGACCGATGGAGCGACGGATAAAATTAATTAGGAAAAGCTTTGTTGGACTATCTGCCCTATTGTTTAAAAAAAACTCTGCAGCACAGTCACTACGGAAGCAGTGGTCTAGTAATTAAAACACGGCTTCTAACCACTAGGTTCCAGATCCGAACCCTACTTCATTACCATCTGAGTAACAAGGCATTAAGAAATGTATGAATCAAAGCCAAGTGAATAAATTTGAACCTGGTAGATGAGTCATATCATTATTTGAAATCGACTATGGCTAAGAGAAAAAGTTATATTTAATAAAGACTTAAACGGTTCATGCGGTCTAAGTTAACTACTAAGTTAACAGAAAAATTATTCATATTAAAGTTAAACCATCAACAAACTGACCTTGATTCCTTTAGTGTTATAATATAGTGGTGATGCCGTGGAAGACCATCAAACAAAATAGTTATGAAGTGCGTAACTTAAAGCAATGCATAACCCGAAGTGAAGCAGTAGCTAGGAATAGGAGTGCGTTGAGAAAACAGTCTGGTACCTGTTGGGCCACGAAATAAAATCAATCCATGAAACAATTGACTATTGTTCTCAGCTGTGCAGAGAAATGCAGAGTTCTTGGTTAAGCTGTGAGATTATCGTTATCTATGGTTGAAGACCTTAAGTGGCATGTCCTAATGTAGGTAGTAATGGAATAAATGTATTCACTCTTTTATGCTCACTCGAGATTTTGAGTTTCAAACTTCTATATTTCTCATCTCGACTATTTTCGATATTATTTTGATGGGGTAGCTATTTATGTTGATTCTCTTTCAGTATGATGATGAAGTGTGATAACATAGACCGACACGTATTTCTACTCAGCCTTATGTTGTTTATGAATGAATCATAAAACACAAATGATCCAGCTTACCCCAAGGTTAACATTGACACCAATTTTTCCAAAATCTTCTGAATGTGGTGAATTTCGTGGTCTGCGACTATGATGCGCTGGAATGGGTTTTACTGTCCTTGATTGGTCAGAAAGTAATGGAGTTCTGCCCTCGTTTTCCTCTCCATCTGTTGAACAAATAATAATTAACCAAATAAAAAAACTTACCTAAACAGACATGCATAATTAACAGCGTTACACACACAAATGACCACGACAATGACTATATGAACGGATACGCTAAAATCAAAATATTTATATTCCCATGATCGGAACAAGACAATATACTAACCAAAGAAAATTCCGGGGCAATAATTGGAATCATAGGGGGATGGAGTGCATACATATGGTATAAAACTCTCTTTGAGCCTAGAACACATTTAGTTATTCATCTACAACGTAACACCGCGACATATAAGCATCGGTCCAAGTTGCCATACCTCATTAGCACAACAAAATGAACACTGAACTCATAGAAGTAGTTAATTTAGTGGTATTAATATATAAGGGAAAGATTTTATATAAGGATATAGTACAGGAATAAAGAAAGATATGCAGCAATTTTAATCTCATAGTTTAATGGAAGACAGTGTATACACCTACGCCATTGTGATCGACTCTGAGCCATGTCACCTAGTCTCCAACCATTGGTTACGATAGTCACACGGCCCCCAACCAAGTAGTCCGCACCTACCAACATGGCTCAGACTAGAGGTTAGTGACTTCAAGGACTGATGCCACGTTTTGGTTTGGCCACCCCTCACTCTCGTCCAACCATCCCTAATACTAGCGAGCATAGCGCGTCGTGATAATCAATGTCCGGGCATACGTAACACGTGGCCTAACTATCTCCGTTGATGAAGATTTACAAAATCATCAACTGATTTACCATCATTCCCTAATACCCTGCGTCTAACCTCACCATTATTTACCCGCAGATCCCAGCAGATGCGAGCAATATTTCTAAGACATCTGTGGTCAAATACTAGTAAGTTACGAGTATCTTCTACTCTTAAGGGCCACGTTTCGAAGTCGTAAATTAGAACAGAGCGAACTGCTGCGCAGTATACTCGTCCCTTCATTCATAAACAGATATCTCACCTTCGACACAGGTGGCGTAAGTTGGCAAAAACCAGACGAGCTTTTTGTACAGTCAGCAGCACGACTTCGTCCTCGGACCCTGTGTTTGCTGCTTTTAGTCTTACCGCTCTTCAACCGACCCGTCTGGCATGGTAAAACCTTGAGGAACGATTGTTCCAGCCAGTATAGCTAGGTTGATTCATTACAGTAGGCAAGCACGACCACCAAGTCAGGGTAGCAGCGACAGTCGGGCAGTAAATCTATGATGAAATTAAACAAGAATGGAGATAGTGCACAGTCTTGCTGGACACCATTTGAGGTTGTAAAATCAGACGACAGTTCTCTATAAGCTCTCATTTGACCGGTGGTGTTCGAGCAAAGAGCCTTCACAAGGTTTATGTACTTCCGAGGTACACCTTCCAATGACACACTGCCACAGAACCTCTCGGTTTACAGAGTCAAATGCTGCTTTTAAGTCAAGAAAAACTATCATCGTCGGACGCCGATAAACATGTGTTCTAAGACCTGATGAATAGTGAATACGTGGTCGACACAGCCACGACCAGATCTGAAGCCAGTCTAATTTTCTCGTGTTTGCAGTTCACGAGTCTTAGCTAGGCGCCCAATAATTATTCAGGCTAGTATTTTAGATGTTATATTAGTCAAACTAATTCCTCTATGGTTATTACAGGATAATTTCGACCCCTTCTTGTATATTAGGACAATAAGCGATTGCGACCAGTTAGATGGGATTACGTCCAACTCCTTGATTTTAGCTAAAACATTGGCCAACCAAATCGCTAAAACTAGACCACCATCCTTAAAGGCCTCTGGAGCTAATCAATCTAGACCAGCTGTTTTTCCTAGTTTCAGATTAGCTATAGCTTTTTGAACTTCAAATAGAGTCGGGAAGCCCATTTCAATGTTTTATCCAGGCTGTTTGGGAATGGTGAGCGGTTTTTATGTATTTATTTATTTAAACACAAATATTGGTACAAAGGGGCACCAAATATATATTTGCCACAAAAATCACTTGATTTGTGTGTGGGTTGTGTTACTGCCCGGGTGAACAGACCGAAGCAGGTGGTTTTCTTAGGGGGCCACACCGGGAGTCTTCGACCTAAATGTCTGATCCACAGGGCAGTGAAGCAACGTCAGGTGACGCGGTTCCATGGTAACCAGTGACCAACGATTGGTTCATACGCCATTTGTTCCCTCGGGATTCTGAAGCCCATGTGCACCACTTGTTTTGAATTACGGTTTCCCAACTCCCCTAGATGGACCCTAAAGGATCCACCGGCCCAGCTAAAGCGCCGGACATTCGCTTTTCGTCTTCTCAATTTCGTAAACAATATCCCCACCACGAAAAGGCAGTGAATAGGACTTCCCTGTCAGTGGCTGTATACATGTGGCTGTGTGAGAGCATTTCAAGAGAGAGAGAGCAAACTCATCTTACTCTTGGGCATACGATGGCGCTTGAGGACAGCCCAAGAGTGCAGTCAGTCTGTCATCTTTTTATGTTTTTTTTTGGTAAAAAAAAACTTGTTGAAATAACTCGTGCTGAGAATTCTATATTGTATCAGATTACAATATTGAATAAAGCCATTAATAATAATAATAATCTTGACCAGGATTTTCGAAAGGCACTCGGCAAATTATCTTTCAGGTCTCATGCGGAGCCCTTTTGACTCCGGAGTTACAAGAACTATACAAGACTGAATAATAAGGCTCCTCTGTAGCCGAAGACAGGGAGTGCAAGTGAGTGGGACGCAATCTGGAGAGAAATCCATTTAATGTGGAGCACCCTAAGGCACCGCCTCGGTCTTCTGAGACTCTTACTCCAAGTCATTATCAAGACAAATTAAATCATTGGCACTTGTTTTTAGGCGATGTCAGTACCTGGAGAAAAACGAACACTAAATCGTGTTACCCAAAGACTGATCATTCGAGGGGATATTCGAAGAAAGTTCAAAAACCGAGATCAAATCGTCTACGTCTGGAGTTTCGTTCCTCGAACTGAATAGTTAATAATTGGAATTCTCTACTAGAACACGTAATATTATCATTTTTAGTCTATATATTCAAAACGAGATTGGACCTCCACGGTGTTACAAACTTCAAGGATTAATATAGGTCAATAGACCTATAATTATTACTGGAGAATGATCACCTGGATTTTCAAGCTAATTTAGAATAATTAGTTAAGTGGTTCAAACGGTGGAGTTCGAAACGCAACTGCAACCAGTTACTCCATATTTTATTAAGGATGATGAGATAATTGAATGAGAAACAATATACAGCGAAACCAAGCACAATCGTGCTCCATTTGTCTTAGAACTGAAGTCTTAACTAACTACTGTCAGTACCATAGTTTTTTTTAAGAATATTGTAGAACAATTATATTTCCTAAATGATTTCCAGTCACAACGATTTATCGAAATAGTGTAATTCGCTTGCTACCAGCTGAGTCTCTCAAGAGGACGCTTGCCTCTTGATAGCTGTATTTTAAAAGGATTTTTATTTGAATAACAATGAGGTGGATAGATACTGAGTGGTACTAAGGAATCATCATTTAAAAACACTCGAGCTAACCTTTTTATTCTGGGCCACCAGCTACAGTAAACGAAGACCTTAACAATAATTACATTGTAACCTGAACCTTGAGAATATGGAAAGGTCATCTTCAAGCTCCAAACTTTTCTGGCCAGGAAAAGTGACTTGATTGTTCATAAGGAAGTCCATCTAGATAGGAAAAGAATGCTCTCTGTTAGGAAGAGGTTTAACTCAGTTTTCTTTTCTTCAGAAACTGAGGGGGAAAATATTAGCTATTGAAAGGACAGTGGTATTTTTCCTCGTTGAGTAAATTCTATTGTTTTGATCGTTATTAACGTATCAAGACTACTGTTTTTATACTTTGATTGAATTTCTTTCAGTTAAAGTATTCTATTAGAGTATCATCTTTGGTATCCTAAATAGTTTTATCGTCGGTACTCCAGAGTACTTTTTTTCCATTGTGTCTGTTAGTACTTTGGTCCTAACTGTTTATAGTTTTTTTTTCTACTTGTAGTCAACACTCACTTTCGCATCCTAAAATGACTGGAAGATGCGACAAAAGCATTTGCCACCGCCCAGGATGTCGATATCCTGTTGATAGCGGCATGCAGTGCGATGAGTGCAAAGGTTGGTACCACGATGTTTGCACAAATCTAACACCTGCAGCTTTCAAGCGGTTCAGTAAAAATGGGTGTGTATGGCTATGTCAACAGTGCTGTTTGGATGCAAATAGCCTGTTAACCGAGGCCGTCTCAATAGTAAATGCCGCAAAAAAGTGTCTCGGCAAGCGCGGTCGGGATACATCAGTCAGAACTCAATCTGTCGACACGCAGATTGACACAAGGCAGGCCCAAGTGAGTCCAAAAACTGCCGACCCACACTCTACTAAGGAGGAAGAACATCCTCCAAAGAGGACTGTTACAACCAGAAACTCGCGCAAAAAAGTCTCTTCTGTCCCTCGTATCAAAAATGGTACCCAGAAGGGAACTTCCGGAAGCCGAAACTGCAAGGCTCGATCGGTTTCCAGCGCGAAAAATGACCCAATCTCCCAAGTCGTCCTGACTCTTCCGGAATCCCACAGTACGCCTGACGCGAATGTGGTTACCACTCCAAAGAACGTTGGCGATTGGGTACGGGTCGTAAGAAAAAAACGCCAAAATGACGTAAAAGGAAATCATACCCCCACCACAAGGGTCGACAAGCCGAGGTCTGATCACAGCGACAGATCAGTCATTCTCCATAGAGTCAAGGAGAGTGACAACTTAGAACCGAAAGCTCGTTTTGAGCATGACATTGTGTTGATAAAACAACTACTCAACCAAGTTATGCCCAAAAACATCCCCGGAGTCACCTTGCTAAAGGTGCATAGACTAGGAAATCTAGCGCATCTGAAACCAAATCAGTCTAGACTACTCAAAGTCGTTTTCAAATCCTCAAACGAACGCGACTTAATCTTAGAAAATGGACACAAATTAAAGGGTTCAGGAGTTTTTCTCCGTAAGGACTTACCGTTGGCGGACCGTGTTAAAAGACGGGAAGCCGAAAAGGAACTACAGCTCAGATTAGACGCTGGCGAGAAAGACCTGAAAATTGTAAATTTTCGGGTTGTGAGGCTTCGGCAGAGGATGATGCCGAAGCCACTCTGGGTGAAGCACGAGGCTACCTAAGTAGGCTTCGGATCTGTTATACCAACGCCCGGAGCTTACTAAATAAGCTACCGGAACTAGGTGTACAGATTGACTCAACTAGGCCAGACATAATCGCAGTCACAGAAACATGGCTGACGCCGTCTATAGATAGTAGGGAACTTGATTTCGAGGGTTTTACATTAGTAAGGGCCGATAGAATACAAACGCGTAAAGGAGGGGGAGTAGCTCTATTCATTAGGAATGCTATTCCATTCACCATTATCGACAGTGTATCCCATGAGAGTGGGACGTATGAGTTAGTTTGCTGCCGCCTGAAATGCAGGGGACAAGAGTTGCTACTTAGTTTGATCTATCGCAGTCCAAGCTGTGAGGCAAACGAGGTCCTGCTAAGCAGTCTCAACACTTTATCACGAAGTGATCGATGTCTAATCCTGGGGTACTTTAATGCACCCATGGTGGACTGGGGAAATCTGCGGACTGAATCGTCAGCAAACTCCTTCGAACAGGAACTAGTTGATGCGGTAATCACATGTGCACTAGTGCAACACGTGAAGGAAGCAACTAGGTACGACCCGGGTTCTGCATCATCCTTACTAGATCTTATATTGACTCATTATGAGGATGATGTTGCAAACCTGGATTACATTCCACCCCTAGGCAAAAGTGATCATGCAGTTTTAAGCTTTGACTTCCAAATAACTGTCGATCACGAGTACGCTTCAGCTCAATCCAGACCTAACGTCTGGAAAGCAAACATACCAGACATCATGAAATCAGCATCATTAGTAGATTGGAAATTAGACCCAGAGTCATCAATCGAAACAGCTTGGGACATATTCCGGAATTTATACTTAAAAGTTACCACCCCCCACATCCCTTGGACTACACCTAAGAGACCGAGAAACTCCCCACCGTGGTTCAGTAGGGAGGTTCGCATCCTTCCCCGTAAAAGAAGGAAAATGTGGGACAGATTTAGGTTACTGGGGACTGACGAGGCAAAATCTCAGTATCAAAAGGCTTGAAATACCTGTGCCTCGACCCTCCGTAAGGCCAGAAAGCTGTACGAAGAGAAAATCGTTAGAGAATCCATAGAATGCCCTAAACGCTTGTATTCGTATATAAACCAAAGGACAAAAAGAAGAAGAAATGTTCCTTCACTATGGGGAGACAGTACTGCCACATCACTAGTGGAGGATGACTTTGACAAAGCTCAAGTATTCTCTAAATACTTTAGCGATGTATACACCATAGAAACACCCTTCTCACCAGTCCATGAAAATCCCCCCACACAAGCACTGGACAGCGTAACCATTAAAGAACTCGATGTCTTTGGTCTGCTAGTTAAGCTTGACATAGGTAAATCCACTGGACCCGATGAACTGCATCCTAGGTTACTAAAGGAATTAGCTAACTTTGTTGCGAACCCTTTAAGTGTATGTTTTAATCTATCCGTAACCCAGGGTCGTCTACCAAAAGACTGGAAGAACGCCATAGTAAGTCCAGTCTTCAAAACAGGTACAAAACATAAGCCTGAGAATTACCGACCAATTAGCCTAACTAGTGTGGTTGTTAAAATCTTAGGAAAGATTATTCGGAAGGAACTGTTAAAGTATCTCGATAAAAACCGGATCCTCTCCGAAAAGCAGCATGGTTTTAGAACAGGTTACTCTTGTCTCACAAACTTATTAGTCGCTCGTGAAAGCTGATGCGCTCTTAAGGACCAAAAATTACCCATAGACGTAGCTTACATCGATTTCAGCAAAGCTTTCGACAAAGTTCCGCATAACCGGCTGT